GAAAATTTTTCAAAATTCTTTGATGCTTTTCTAATTTCCCTGATTTTCTTGATTTTTCTTGATTTTTGTGACAACCCTGTCGAACTTATACGATTATTTTGATGATTCAACAAAATTATTTTCAGACTCATATTTAGCTAAATTTTTAAATAGTTTTAGCAAAATCGTTCTTTTTGTGTAAAAAAAGTGTGGTGAAAGTTCATTTTTAAAAAATTCGCTAAAATCGCTTCCGTTTAAAGATGTGATATCATGTCCATTGCATTTTCATATTCGGGCACGTCGTCGCCTTCGTCTCGCGTATGATAAATCGATTAAAATGCGCGAACTAGCGGCAACGAGCGACAGGTAATTAAGCCGGGCATAACGACAATCCATTAAGTGCCGTCAATTAAACCGTCGTCCGACGACGACCGGCGTCCACTGCATTTCCTATCTCTTTCGTTATTTTCCTCTTTTTCTCCCTTCTTCTCTTTCACCAGTTTCGAAATCCTGCGAGGTTTCATCACTCTCAATCATAGAGATCAATGACATCTTTTTGGAATTCCTTTAGCCATCCGATCTCGCAATAATAATTCAACGACATAATAAAAATTCGAATTTCTTATTACAAGAGAAAAAAAGAGGTTTTCAAGCAAGAATGAGAAATTCTTTTATATTTTATTATTTAATCGTTCAACTTCGATCTTTAAACGTCTCAATTATAAATATCTTTAAATATAATAGTCTGATTAGACAAAATTTCAAAGTGTTAGTGGATCTTTTATATTTTTATTCATACATATCTCACTATGCGTGAGATTAATTATTTCGCTTCCTTTAGTTGTTTACCAGACTATGTGAATGCGAGAAAGAAAATTGCATCTTCAACATGAAGAGGAAGACAAACGAAAACAAGATGCGATAGAAACAGAAAGTTAATGTTTAACCTTCTGACGGCAACTGAGATCTTTAAAAACACCTCTTCGATATTTTAATTGTGAGTTTTGATACATTTATAAATCTGTAAAAAATAAAATATAATTCAACTTTTATGATGGTAAAAACTTGTGCTTAAAGCTTTGACAAGTATACTAGAATTTTTTCAGATTTTGATAATCTGAAACAGTAAAAAATTTGTTTTGTTTTCCAAAGATCTTTATTATTGATAAAACAGTTAAAATTCATATTGTGGAGTTCAATCACACAATTTTTACTGTACGTTGTTTTGTATGAAGCAAAGATGGAGCGGATTAAGAACGTGTAGGAGACTATGATTCGTTAATTAATGACAATGCAAAATATTTTACAGGTGAAAATTAACAAACAAATACGCCCACACTTGAAAAAAAACATCAACATCATAGAATAATCAAATTTTGATTACAACAAAATGTTCAACTCACTTAATTTACAAAAACTTTCTATTTTTTAATTTAAAAATTTTATTGTTCTAATCAAAATTTTTTATTAAAGAGTTTTTGTAAGTCACATATAATACAAAACACTTCTCTAAGTGCATGAACCACAATTATGATTTATTAATATCTATGTATACGTCTTACTTCTCTTTATATCTTTACATATTTGAAACGAACAAATTCTAAAAATTTCACTGAAAACTTTTTATTTAAAATCCCTGCACTATTAAGTACATCTGCGCGTGTCTCTCGTTGCGAATTCACCCGGCTAATAAAGACGAGTGCACGAAGTTACGTCCTTTCGTCACCGTGGAAACTTTCCTAATAGGAAGACCGCCGCTCGCGCTCGAGGCGCGCTCGAGCGAACGTATTCTCACACGCAACGTGGATCACCTTAAAAGGGCATCCATGCCGCATTTAACGCACGCGTGCACCGCGGAGATCACACGCGAGTACTCTTGGTATTCAAAATTTCGCGGAACGAGCGCGAGTCTTTGCGCGTCACGCGAGGTCGAATCCGCATGCTAATCTTTAACTTTAATTATTTTTATCGAGTAATTTCGCGAATATTTCGCGCAATTTGGAAAAAGAGAGTCCAAGAAAAAATCAATTTAAGTTTATTACGTTATAGATAAATTCTAGTATACAGTATACAGCGATATTTTTATAGATTCCTCCACGTTTGAATTTTAACCGAATTAAATTTTATTACAACTTTTTGAACGACGCCGACCACGCGGACGGGGGCGTCTGGATGATCTATATGATAACTGCTCGTAAATACGTCCAATTACGGCAAATTGGCGTCACAAGGCTCCGACACGCAGCGTTCGTGCCGCGACATGCCCTTGCGACCCGCTGCGTTTTGATGCACCGCAAGGAGAAGTAAAGGAAATGCACTTGTCACATGCTCTGAATAACCCAACGGTTTCGATATGAAGACTCGGTTTTTCATTTTTAGGTCAACCTGTGATTAGACTTAACCCGATGATAATATAAAAATTGTATCTTTTTAGCTAAGATTAATTACTAAACTGATCCATAGTAACTTTGAAAGTTTAGTGATTAATCATAATGGTTAAGATAAACATAATTTTTATGTCGTCGTCAAGTTAAATGAGGTTAAATCTAAACTATAAGTTCACTCTATAGGAAATGAAAAATCTTGTCCGTTTAAAGTTACCACTAAAAAATCATCAGTTAATAATTATCAGTTAATAATTATAGTTAGAAAAGTACAATTTTTACATTAAGTTAAGTGAGATTAAGTCTAAACCACAAGTTAACAAAAAAATTCGGATCAATTGCCTCTTTTAGAATTGCCATGTAAGCAATTTAATTAATTATACAAGAATTATACTATATTATCACTAATGCCTGTTTCTACCAATGTAGATTAACTTTAATCTCGATTCAACTTACTCTTAATCCTTTTCCGATTCTTAATTCTTCATTTGCAAACCTTATTTTTATTCTTTCCGATTGCAATCTAAGTCTAGGCAAAGTTTTTTGTACTGTTCTTCAGTTTTAAGCTTTAAAAATAAAATTCAGAGTTACTTTTGAACATTTCTATTATTATTGAATAATTTTTAAACTTAAATATTAAAACCTTTACTTAATAAAAATCGAAATCAAAATTTGAGCAAAAAGGAGGGTGAAATTTGAGATTGAAAATTTCGTTTCGTTCGTATCAAGAGAGACAGATCACAAGATAGATGGTGAAATTAAGAAAAAAACTAAAGAATAAGTTGAAACAAGATTAAAATTAATCTACATTAGTGAAAATGTGGGCATATACGTGACGACGATATGATCAGTTCTAACGTATCGAATTTTATCTTTCCTCACGGTGTATTTCAATCTCGCCTATCGGCACACGTATCTCGCCGCTTAATGGCTCAACGTTCGTGTATGTACCGAGTTTCGTTGCGATTTTAACGGCCCGTCCACGTGGAGAGCGATATCCATTTTATACCCCTGTGTAGCGTTCTATCGCCGCCGTGCATTTTTTTTTAATGATCCGGAAACGAGCGAAGGTCGAACCTTCGAAATCCTCCTCGCTGATCTCCTCGCTGAATCTGCCGAGTTGACCGGCACTGACCCACTTCGCAGAGATTACAGAGAAGATGCAGGGTCAGAAGTAATGTCGAGCTGACACTTCTTTTTACCGCAAGTTTTTAATCACCAACGTTTCCTAGAGTCATCGCTGAACGTCGCGACTGGCAATGTTATCTCTTCCTTTACATTTTTCATAGTTCGAAAAGTACAAGTAAAATCTTGAAAATATAATCTCGATGATTTATGATTAATCTTAAAATAATTTCGTAATAAATATAATAATAATATATGTGTAATAATATAATAATAATATACAACAATGATATTGTATTAAATGTAATCAGACATTTTTTGTGAAAATACCACGTTCTAAAAATACAGATAAAAATAAAACCTTATTCCACAGCCAAAGTAAGAAGTATTTTGCTTAAATCAATATAAGTCAATAATATATAGTTAGTAATAAAAAGTATTTTAAAAATTCAGTAAATAAAAATAAAATTGAGAGAACTCTATGGCGACAGAAGGAAAGTTAATTTTGTACCGTCGAAAAAAGTTTCATATCTTACCAGAAATATTTTTCACAGCAACGCATTTCGTGTTTATCTAAAGCGGTGTCTACAGTGAGATTTTAAGGCATAAAACTTGAGCTTTACGTTTTAAAAAATTGATATATCATAATCGATTATTCCCTTCACATTTCTGTGAGTATAAGTTTCTTACTTTTAAGGGTCAAAGTTTGAAATCTCATTGTAGATTATAATTTACACAGGTATCGCACTGTCGCACCTTCCATATACTTGAAGGTTCATCTGTCAAATCAGCGAATTCTCATGTAGGGATTGGGTAGCGTGCGGTTGTATAAACGACACATGTGTCCAGTATCGGATTCGCCTCACAGGACTTACAATCGCAGATTAAGTGCGCAGAAGGTAAATTGGGAGATAGGGTGAGTTGTATTTTGCATAGTCAATGTGCACTGCAAGGGATGAGGATATCGCATTCCCACACGATCGAGTTATTTAAGTACTTTTTCCCTTTCATTCTTAAAATCTCGAATTAAATCCGTACGTTCGCGCTTGCGCTGCAATTTTTAAACTTCCCTCTCGCACGCATCTCCTACATTTTCCTTGATTAATATTGTAGGAACGTTAATGTACCGCTGATATCGAAATCTCGCATAAAAGTAACCGATATCTTCTCTTAATTCTCTAAAGCTGATGGTGTATTCTTGAATCTACTCACTGTAAATCTCTTTGTCAAAAAATTCAACTTTCTTTATGTTACAAATTTTGGATTATCTTTATTAAGATATATTTAACATTTCCGAGATTAAGTAAAAGATCTTTTTTATCTTATAAATTAAAAAATACCTTTTGATTAACACAAATTATTAAATGGTCTTACAAACATCAGTAACCGAGTTACAGATTGGTGTCAAACTCTGGAGAGTTATGAAAAAAAAAATTTCATTTTTCAGTCTCCGAGTGAAAGATTGAAACAGTGAAAGACTGAGAGTTTGAAATGCATGCTGCTTGTACTCACTCTTCGACCGTCCGAATGTTTCGGGCTCGGGCTAAGGCTGGGGCTGGGGCTCGGTGCCGGGCTCGGACCCTGATGCACGGCCTGCTGATGCTGATGGTGCTGCCTGTGACTGCTGCCGGCTGATTTCTTCTCCTGGTGCCTCAGCGAGTGTAAACGCGCGGTCATCTTAGCAGGCCGCGACGGCCCTCGGCACAGATCGCAGCACCCTACGTGATTGGCTGGACTGGACGGCTGAGGCTCTCAGCATCTCGCGGCGGCCTGCGACGGCGAGACCAGACTACTCGCACCACTGGACCCCGCGCTCTTCCCTTTGCAACTGCTGTTGGCCACCGACGATGATATACGACGGACTAATCACTGTTGCACCATGCTCTCGACCGTCTCGAGAAAGAGAGACCGATGGGCGAAGGTCGATCGTTAACTTTCTCAGGCTAAAGAGCGAAAACGTTTGATGTAAGCCGCAAAGCGTTCCATTCGCTCGCGTAGCCAACGACCGACGACTACCTGTCACTTGCCTGTCGTCGTGTGCACGCGTGATAGTTTAGCACACACACATACACACACGCACACACACGCGCGTTCGTTCGGAAGGGAAAGAGAGTCCCGCGAAAGTTCACGCGCCACCCGAGCGACTGCTCTACACCGGCGCACACACCGCGCCACGTGGTTAACCACGCGTCGCCGACCACTTGTCACTCACGGGGCGAAACGGCTGTTGTGGCACGTTCGCTCCTGCTGTTTCTTGTCAAACTTCTCACCCCTTCTCAACAACTGTTCCACAGTTAATAGTCGATAAACAATCGACGTGCACTCGTTCACAAGTTTCTCACGCGATAGACGAGTAATGCGCGTCCCGCTTTCACTGAATCTTTGACACTGAAAGGAGCGCCTCTGTCAAAAGTCGTGATCGCAATCGAGTCACTCGATCTTCCTCGAAAAAAAAGGTCCTTTCTGCAATACGAAAAAAAAATCGAATTTTTGTTTCTTTAATTTCTTGAATCGCAGAAATTTATGAGCGCTGGATCGAAAGTACAACGTGGGAATTCACCCTCGTGCATACTATTACCAGCACCCAGGGGCTGATCTAAAATCCGTCAGGGTGTCAACGATACGACGACAAAAACACACGCAGCGCGTGCAGCCTGACTGCGGAAACGTCCGCGTGTGCTCGCACGACGAGCGACGGTGACGGACTGTGAGGAGGCGAGCGGTAGCTGGCGGCTGTACGCGGCGAACTTGGCGCGCCGAGGCCGCGCGTTGGCTATGGGTAAGCGACGGTCGGGAGGAGTGACGGGGGACGCCGCGCGTCGTGGTTGGTCGTGTGTGAGGCGGGGGATACTGGAGCACACGGATGGCTCACCGCTCGGCGTGGCGGCGGTGGCGGCGTGGCGCGGCGTGGCGCGGTACGGCGTGGCATGGCGCGGCACGACACAGCCACAGCAAGGCGAGGCGAGGCGAAGCGAGGTTCGACTCGGTACAGCGTGGCGCGGCGCGGCGCGGCCGGAGGGATCGGTCGGAAAGCTCGCTTGCCTGCTCACGCGCGCCCTTGCCTGCGGCTACGTGCGGTCGTCTCCTATTCTCATCCTTCTCTCTCTTTCTCTCTCACTCATGAACGCTTGCGGCCGCGTCCTCGTCGCGCGCCACGTCGTACCTCCGTCTCTCTCAGGGCCGTTTTATTGCCTAGCCACCGTGAAGCGGCGTCGAAGCAGGAACCGATTTGGATATCAGTGGATCTTTTTCTCCACTCTATCTGTCTCTGTCTCTCGCTCTCGGTTTCTTTCTATCTATCTCTTTCTGTGTCGCTTCCTTTTTTTAATCGATGCCTGGTTCGACTGCATCTCCGCCCCTCTGGTTTCGGGGTAAATGAGAATTAAAACTCGCTGTGCGCGGTGAGCGTTGGCTAAATGCGTTTATGTTCATGGAGATGGATACCGCGCGAAAGATAGGCATCCTTTTTTTTTTTTAGTTACACAACTTTGCGAGATATATGTATGTAGTTGATCACGTTGCCAAAAAAGTTTTGTTCATTTAGTTATCAGATACAACATATGTAAACACATATATATGATATCAAAGAGTTAAATGTAGTACATAAAAATAAATTTTAACGGGAATCTTAGACAACGATAGAATATCGAAAAAATCTGATAGAAATAGTCATGGCTAGATGATAGTTATTAAAACTTCAGTGAAATAATTTCAATCAAAATTTAATATAATGGAATTATATACGTAATAATACAATTATAACAATTTTACTGTTCTAAGTATTAAATAAATGATTTATTATTATGTTTAATAATTTTACTAAATATTGCACCAATACATTAAACAAAATACGTTTGACAGCTATATTCAGTATACTCTGCTTGTATTTATTTGTTTTTAATATTAAGTCAAATTATTGTCAATTTTGATTAAAATAATTGCTATTGCTATTGAAAAAGTAAATAATTTTTGCCATAATTTTTTACATAAAGAAGAACAATACTAATGTATTGTTGTCTTGACATTAAGAGTTTCGATTAATTTTCTCGAATAAAAACATATATTGTTTCAGGGTTTCATCTCATCATTTTCCATCAAGTTTTGTTATTAATCTCACTCATTTCATTCGATACATAATATTTACTAAATATTACATCAGTACGTTAAATAAAATGCATTTGATTATCATTACTAGATATTTTAATTCTTCAATGAAACTGACTCTTACAGTATTTATTGAAATCTTATAAAAAAAATTTATTGAGAATTGCCGGATTTTCGAGATATTTTATTCAAAATTCCAGATAAGACCAGAAAATTTTAAAATTCAATTTTGAAATAAATTAAAAAGAAAGCAATATGAACAAAAATATATATCGCAAATTAGCAGAAGACAGGGATTCCACAAGTTACATCTATCATTTTTTATAATTGGAAATCTAAATCGCGAAAACTATAGGACAATATAAAAAAGACTCATTAGAAAATAGTCAGTTATTCTATTCTTGTCTTCTACTATCTGAGTATTGTCTTCTACTATCATCTTGATTTCTTTTTATAAAAATTTCTAAAACACAAGAATGTACATGAATATACGCGTATATTGTACTTATTACTAATTAATTGTCGATATTAATTATATATTTTGCATTATCAAGAAAAAACAATATTTTCAGAAAGAGACGGAATTTAAATTTAAAAGGTAAAATTCAAAGATTTCCTTGTCTCATTAAATTTCACAAAGAAATCTCCTAAAAATTCCAAGTTCTAGAAAGTAAACATCTTAATTTATTTAAAATCTCAAAAAAAAAATGAATAATTTTAAGTACTTCAACTCTTACATAATTTACTGAAGTAACGTATTGATACAAATTTTTGCTTCAAGGGCGATCGACACTCAGTTTTTTTTCGTCTACCAGACGATTTATCCGTGGAATGCGTCGCTGACATTTAACGGATCACCGATATCGATCTACGCATCAACGCATATGTTAAGTCGCGTGCGATTCACATTGGTGAACACCGCCAGGCCATGAGAAAGAAGATGAGCCTGTGCGCGTTTCTACGCATCGCGCGGTGCGGCACGCGATAAGGATCGTCGGGTTCCGCGCGCGCGTCAGCCTTTAATCTTTCTGTCTCGCAACGCGCGCGAAAAGTCGACGGTGGCGGCGGCGGCACGTCGTGTGCGACGAAACGACCGTAAGAATAGGAGATGAAGTGGAGGAAGAGGAGTGAAAAACGTCGAGGCGACAGGCCGAGTCGGTAGGCAGGCGAAAGAAGAACAAAGAGGAAGAGAGAGAGAGAGAGAGAGAGAGAGAGAGAGAGAGAGAGAGAGAGAGAGAGAGAGAGAACGAGAGAGACGGTGGGAATTCAAACCGTGCCGCCGCTCGGCTCGTCGAAGCGATGAGCCCTCGGGGCGGGCGGCGGTCGCTTCGACGGGGAACGGGAGGGAGAAGGGAGCACACCAGGGAAGCACAGCGAGAGAGACGCGCGCGGGTGGCGACGAGGCATGCGACGGAAAGCCGTGAGGGAGCGAGACGGCCTAGCCGTCGTCGGCACGCGCGCCACGAAGCGCGCGTTACCCACACGCGCGCGCGCCCGACTCGCCGAGGCGTGCGTGCGAATGAGACCGTACACGAGGCCTTGTGTGTCATGCACGCGAATGTATGGGTGAGCGAGTGAGCGAGCGAGCGAGAATATGAGCGTACGTTGCGTGCGTACGTACATACGTGCGTGCGTGCGTGCGTGCGTGCGTGCGTGCGTGCGTGCGTGCGTGCGAGCGAGAGTGGTGGGTCGATTGGGCGGCCCTCCGATACGTCGACGCACGCCAGCTAAAATCGCAGAGTTTCGAATGAAACGGTCATTATTTCGGCCCGCGTACTTTTTGATTGCATCGAGGGGTTGAGAGGAGAGGTGGGAGACAGCGCGCGTCGCAACGCACGAGGGACGATTAACGGCGCGTTCATGGTAGGTGCTTCGTGTAATGTAATGAAGCCGCGTGCGAAATATCGGATCTCTCCTGCCCCTTTCGAAAAATAAAGGGATAATTAAATCGTTTAATGAAATGCTTTTATATTTGCGTCATATTATTTATAGGGAACCGCGAAATGAGCGGATATACTTTTACTTGAGGCTTGATTTCATGCCACTGGGATTTTAAATCTTATTTCTTAATTTGATGAAACAGAATAATTAAATAATGATCTTGAATTGTATTGTATTACGTATATATAGTGTATAGTGTTACGTGACAAAAAAAAGGTGATATTTATCGCTAAAAATGCAAGAGAGATACATATTGTGTGTGTGCGTGCGTGTGTGTGTGTGTGTGTGTGTGTGTGTGTGTGTGTGTGTGTGTGTGTATGTATAGGATTGAGAAAGAAATAGTTTGACATATATAAAATATAGCGAAAAAGTGATAGACGAATCTTCATTCTATATAGTCTTCATTAAAAATCTTGAATCATACAAGAAGGGAATATCTTAGCGGTAAACTTTATATAAAATTTTTAAGTACTTATTGTATGTGTTTGCACATCAATGCAATTAAAGACTACTATGCGTTGGAGATTGAAGATTGCGAATTGAAGATTAAAACAAGTATCTACAAAAGTTTAGCGAATTAAAAATTAATACAGTAATTAATGGACAATGAGTGTCATGTAGGAATTCAATGTTGGTATCTTAAAAATATATTGCACATGAAATCAATATTAACAAATTCCGAAGATTAGTATTTGATCAATTAGGTAATTTTAATTTCAATCTATTTCACTCAAATTCGTTGAGAAATGTGCAATTCGCAATTCTCAATCTTCAATATATCTGCTACAACGACTTAACGCAATTGCAAAAAAAAAAAAAGAACAGCATTGCATCAAATTCCGTTCTAAATCACACGAGAAGTTCTTCCTCTTTATAGTATATTACAATACGATATCTCGCGATGAGTTTTCCGTATTCTCATACGAGAACGTCAGTTTTTCGTCTCGTGGCTCTTTTTGTCTCGTACGTGGCCAGCCGCAAGTTTCAGCCGGAGCTGATGCGAAACGAGCGGAATCAACGAGCGAGTTTTTAATTTAAAACCCGATTCGCCGTGCGTATACGTTGTTCGCCGCTTTCCACCGCCTTGTATCGACCTGGGGCATCGATAAGCAACGATTCTGCCGTGCATCGCAGCGGAGTCACGGCCGAGCGAGGGAGCGGGATATTTTTTTCATCGTGCCTTCGCCGCGCGTGTTGGGAATAATAACCGCATCCGCGGTTCGTAGCCGTACCGGGGAGATCTCTCCTAGTTAGGTGCGCCTTCGAATAAGGAGGCCGCCTCTTCTTGCTCATTGAACGCTTATACGTTTCTTCTCCTCCCTTTCTTTCCTCCTCGACATCCCCTTTTTTCCGGCCGGAGGCGAGACTGTGACTGAAACTCGCGTGCTGCCTGGCGTTCACACACGGGAGAGTCGATGAAATCGCGCGAGATTCCATGAACGCGAAAGGTCGTTCCGATGCGTGAGAAGTAGTCAAGTTAAGAGGAGAAGGACGAGGAGTG